AGAGAGAGAGAGAGAAATATAAAAAATAAAAATATAATAATATATTTAGGATATCGTAAATAGGAGTATATGAAAATGTAATTTTGTCATTTCTTTACAAGAATACAGTAGACAAATGTACACGTTTTATCAAAACTCGATGTATCTACGCATCCCTTAACGCGAAATTAAATCCATTCCGTCCGAGATCGAAATCAGTTAAGTACATGTCAATCAGACGTACAAAGAAACAAATAAATAATCGTATTATACAATATATGTACTTACATGTACACGTAACTCGAATCTATTCTTTCGTAGACGTATTACGAGTAAGGTGTATTACTCTACGAGAATTTCGAGAACCAAGAATTCGATTCTGTATAAAATTGTTTTCTCTACGGATCCAATGATTCTTTATTTTTTAGCCTACAATTTGACAAAGTATCCCTTAAACGGACAACAAAATTCGTATAGGAAACTGTGAGAAATTGAAAAATCCTTCGCCATTTTCGAGGAGCAAGGAATCGTATCGTTTTTGTTTTTTGAGCATCGAAACAGGCGGAACACGACGATTTTCATTCCCTGTACGTCGAATAGAAAAGTCCGGGGATTCGAAAATGGTAAAGTGCTTTTCGATTCGCTGGGAAATCAAAGAGTTCTACGTTCCGACTTGGCTCGTAGTTCTTGGACTAGGATTCGACGAGTCTTTGATGGAAATCAAACGAAGTTCTCAGGGTTTAATGGACCACGATGAACAGCGTCAAGTAGAGAATGTATTTCTAAAGTAAAAACGGGCCGTTTGCGTGCATTGTCATGACATTACGAGATCGGAACTTTCATGTTTGTTAAGCTAAATGTGTTGCCCTAAAGTTACACTTAAAGAAAGGGGCAGTTCGAGAGTACAAGATCAAACTGTGGAAGCATAATGTCAATTTGTAAAGAAACGCACTGATCGTTATGCGCTATCGAAATGCTTGATAAAGAAAAATCATGCAGAAGGTTCTTTGTTCGCCTGTGAAGCAAAAAAAAAGGAAAAGAAGAAAGAGAAGCATGTGTTACGTATAAAGCGAACGAGAAGCAATTGTTTAAACGATCGTTACACGAGCTGAAACGTAAAATAAACCTGTTTACAACTGTTCTATCAAAGACAGAGGTGAGAGGTGACCCTCGGCCACTCGATTCGATTCGCAAAATTATAAAGTCTTATATATAATATTAAGCTTCGTACGATGCATCGATATACGGAATATTGAAATAAAATTCCTTCTTAATTTGTACATGTTTCCTCGTTAATTAGTTTCAAAGAGCATCGTCTGTATCTCATCGAAGAATATGGAATATTAGAAATATTTAAAATATAAATAGCGAAAAACTTTCGAGTGCGAAGGGTTCAGACAAGCAAGATAATATATTATGTAGTTTCCGAGAATATCATAGACGCCTTCTAACGAATTAATTTGTATCGTTATAAACTGTTCAGCTTCGAATTGCACGGCTGTCGTTCCGGTAAATCGTATCACGGAATTACCAATTGAAATCGATATATTAATCACTTTATTCACATTGAAGTTCAATTAGAAAATTATGTATGTACATGTTAATAAAAGATACACAACCGAAATTCTACTTTATTATCTCTCTTTTCGGTTACATCGTTCTGGACTATTTCGTTTAAAAAGAAGCAGCATAAACTTGTAATTATATTCCTTATCGTATCGATGTTACGTGATCGTCAAAGTATAATACATGAAACGTGGTATTACTTTGTTATACGTCGAACGCGTTCGTGTTCATCGAATCCATTCATTGTCGTGATAACCGTTAATCGTTATTATTTCTCACAGCGTTCAGTTCCATACCGATGAGATTGCTAATGTTTCGAGTGTAAAGTTAAAGTGTAAAGAAATTTCTCTAGAAATCGTAAGACATAATTAGTAAGCGATCATGCCGTAGATATAAAAAGCACCTTTTCATACAATTTGCATCGTACTCCTGCAAATAATTAAATATTCATGTATATGCTAGAAAAGTTAAGTGAACATATACATATACATGTGCGTGCGTTCGCGCGCGCGTGTGCGTGCGTGTATGTGCCCACGCGTGTGCGCGCGTATTTAATGTATATATCACAATAGTTAAACATAAATAATATGAATTAATTAAATAGAGAAAATAATTGTCGATGAAACCAGCCTTATGATGGAATTAAATACAGATACGCATACGATGGTTCGTTGAGAGAAAAAAAAAATTAAAAAAATAAAAGAAAAACAGAGAACACCGGAACAAGCTCTAGCTTCGAAGATAGAAAAAAACAAACAAAACAAAAACATATAATAATATCCTGTACACGACCGTGAACTATTATTGTAAACCACAAGCATAGAGTTTATTAAAAACGGTTTTATTACGTTTAAATTATTTTCATTTTCATAGAAAGTACATGTTTGCCAGTATGGTTAGTATTTATGTAACAATTTTTTAACAACTTAATACAATAAAATATATCGGTTAACAACGTATCTTTCAATTTTACACAATGATAAAAATTTTTTATAAAAAGAAAGTAACTAATAAAAAAAACCTGCTCTTTGTACATAATATTGTCTTCTAAAATATTTCGATACGAGAGATACCTTTATTTTTTCTTCTTTTTTTTCTTTTCTTTTTTGTTCTTTCATCGTGTTTGTCAGAGCGAAAGGAATCATTTGAACGATCTATTTCTGCCGAGCCAGTCTGTTATTAGCGATAGACTTAATAGAGTGTTTCCTGATCAGGTACTTAACGTGTCGTTCGACGACACGTTGTTGTTTTTTTTCTTTTTTTTTGTTTAGAAACAAAGTACTCGTCTCAAATCAATATTTCCATGTGAAAATGATCTTGTATACTTTTTCTCATTAACGACACATCATGATAAACTGCATGTATACGTCGTAGAAAACAATACACGATAAATAATGACGTTCACGTATCCTTATTAAACAGTATCCTTGTTTACGAACTATTACATGTTATTTTGACACAAATATAGTTCAATGATGTTTTCCAGCCTGTCTACAGTCTCTTATTATAATACTGTTTTCATTTTGCTATTACTTTCAAACAATACTATCGTTTTTGAAACGTCGAATTCTCAACTTAATCTTACTTTCGATGGAAAAGAAAGAGAGAAAGAGAGAAAGAGAGAGAGAGAGAGA